TACCCTACGATCCTGCAATTTTGCTACTGGGTATTTACCACAAAGATGAAAATGTAGTGATCTGAAAGGACACCTGCACCCCAAAGTTTATAGCAGCAATGTCCACAATAGCCAAACCATGCAAAGAGCCCAGATGTCCATCAACAGATAAATGGGTAGGAAGATGTGGTATATATATATATACACAATGGAATAATATGCAGCCATTAAAAAAATGAAATCCTGCCATTTGCAACGACGTGGTTGAACTAGAGGATATTATGCTAAGCAAAATAAGTCAATCAGAGAAAGACAATTATCATATGATCTCACTGATATGTGGAATTTAGAAACAAAACAGAGGATCACAGGGGAAGGGAGGGAAAAATAAAACAAAACAAAACCAGAGAGGGAGACAAACCATAAGAGACACTTTTTTTTTTAAGATTTTATTTATTTATTTGAAAGAGAGAGAGAGCACAAGCGGGTGGGGGGGGCAGCAGGCAGAAAGAGAGGGAGAAGCAGATTCTCCATTGAGCAGGGATCCCAAAGTGGGGCTCCATCCCAGGACCCTGGGATCATGACCCGAGCCGAGGACAGCCACTTAACCAATTGAGCCACCCAGGTGCCCCCATAAGAGACTCTTAATCATAGGAAACAAGCTGAGGGTTGCAGGAGGGGAGGTGGGTGGGGGGAATGGGGTAACTGGGTGATGGGTATTAAGGAGGGCATGTGATGTAAAGAGCACTGGGTATTATATAAGACTGATGAATCACAGGCCTGTACCTCTAAAACCAGTAACACATTATATGTTAATTAATTGATTTAAATAGAAAACTGTTTCGGGGCATCTGAGTGGCTCGGTCGTTAAATAAAAAACTGTTTAATAAAAAAAAACTGCTCATCAAGATACATCTCCAAAAGCTAGTGAAACAAAAGCAAAAATGAACTTTTGGGACAATATAAAAAGCTTCTGCACAGCAAAGGAAACAGTCAACAAAACAAAGAGGCAACCCACAGAATGGGAGAAGATATTTACAAATGACACTACAGATAAAGGGCTGGTATCCAAGATCTATAAAGAACTTCTCAAACTCAACACCCAAAAAACAAATAATCAAGTCAAAA